CAACGTTTCTTTGTGGCCCAGAGATGGGAGATCATTTATATGACTACAATAAGGGAAAAATCTGGGGATCGTAGGTACACTGCATGATAAGGAAGCATCAAGCTGGCATCAGAACAGTCTTAATGCTGGAATAGACCAATGAACATGTTCGCCCGCTGTGCTGAACATTAGCCAAACCTTAGTTAAGACATCGTAATTGTGTCTTGAGGCTCTGCAGCTTAGGATTGAGAAGCTGGGGCAGTGGACCAGAGGCCCTTACTTACTAATAACTGTTCCCTGTGCTGTCGGCCATGTGCTCAGACTGGTTGGGATGAGAAAAGATATATATTTTTAAGATTTTATTTATTTGTAAAGAGAAGGGCAGGGAAGGAGAAAGAGAGGGAGAGAAATGTCAATGTGTGGTTGCCTCTTGACGCCCCCCCCCCACCGGGGACCTGTCCCACAACCCAGGCACGTGCCGTGACTGGGAATCAAACTGGCAACCCTTTCATTCGTAGGCCGGCACTCAAGCCACTGAGCCACACCAGCCAAGGCAGGAAAGATATTTTTTTTAAAAAATCTATGAAGTTCTTCCCCACAAAGAATTGTCACTCTAGTTGGAGACATGAGACTTACGCAGAAGAATATTTAGAGAACGCTCTGAGGAAAAACAGGATCAGGTGTGCAGTTGTGTGCTGTGAAATCAAATGGGAATCCAGAGAAAGTGGGTAGTGCCTGTCATCGTGGGCCTGAGTCCCCAGAGGAAGTGTCGTGAAGGGAGACCAACATGTGTTGAAGGGCAGCTGCAATGGGGGTTGTGGAGAGGAGGAATGGGGTCCAGATAGACAGGACATAGCATGAGGAAAGACATGGGGACTAGAATGAAGACAGTGGAGGGAGGACAGGCAGGAGAAGAGCTTGGATGGAGGTAAAATTCGTGCTGCAGAAGTAAGTAAGGGTAGGCTGGGAGTAGGCAGGTTGAAGAAGGTCTTCAATGCCTGTGCAAGACTGAGACCCAGTTCTGGAAAGGCTTTTTGGATCAGGGAAGTGACATGACGAGTTGGCCGTGTCAAGATATTCATATGGAATGTGTGGGTAGGATGCATGGGGAAGGTGCGAGAAAACTTGAGAAGGGCCAGTCAGTAGCCTGCTGCAGTGACGTGCATATTGGGGTGATGCAGGGGAAGGAGCAGTACGACTCGGTTGTCTTGGAGCCCCTGGAACGTTCTTGGAGATCACCACTGACAATGAAAACCTCACTGAGTGTTAACAAAATGCTTACCCTGTGCTGAGAGTTTTTTTTTCATTTTTATGAGAAAAAATAGTAAAAACGATTGAAAAAAATCTTTTTTTTAGGAGTATTTATGTTTTTTTATTTTTAAAGAGGGGGGAGGGAGGGAGAAAGAGATGGAGAGAAACATCAGTGTGTGGTTGCCTCTCGTGTGCCCCCTACTGGGGACCTGGCCCCCAACCTAGGCATGTGCCCTGACTGGGAATGGAACTGGTAGCCCTTTGGTTCACAGGCTGACTCTCACTCCACTGAGCCACACACCAGCCAGGGCAAAATCGAAAAATTCTTAACCATGAAAGCTGTGAGACACTGAGATGGGTTATTGTTTTTGCTCCTCATCCCCCTTCTTAGAAAGCTGTCAGGACCCAAGAGGCTCTTCTGGTTAGTGTCAGGAGGAGTGACTGAAATAACTTGAAGTGTCAGGTCAGGACGTGGGGCTTCTCCTCTGTCTGTCTGCCCACCTCGGGCCTTGATGTCTGGACATCTCTTTGTAGGTTTTCACATCAGGCACTGCAGCAGACACCTATGATAGGTACTCTGACACCGCTGGGCGCTCAGGGCGTCCAGGCTGCCGTCCGATCAGCTGCCATCCTGCCTGAGCAGCAGCAGCAACAGCAGCAGCAGCAGCAGCAGCAACAACAGCAGCAGCAGCAACAGCAGCAGCAGCAACAGCAGCAGCAACAACAACAGCAATACCACATCCGGCAGCAGCAGCAGCAGCAGATCCTGCGGGTAGGGCCCGGGGAGTTCGTAGTTCACTGGGGACCTGGGAGCCCAAGGAGGAGGAGAGGCCCTGGCTCCTCCGGGTTGTATGTAGAGACCAGCTGAGGCAGTGCACGGAAAGCGCCTGGCAGTGGCTGGCATACAGTGGGGTCTTAGGAAGTTAGTTTTTACACTCCTCCCCCATTTTGTTTTCTGGGGGTCCTAGGGGGAGACAGTTGGAAGTTATCTGCTGGAGACCTCAGATTAGATGTCTCTCTCTGCAGCCCCCTCAGGAAGGGAGGGCAGGGGACCCAAAGTTCCCTCCCTGCTCCTCTTTCCACTGTCCCCATCTCTCCATGCTTGGGCCCAGCTGCCTTGCTCTCCTTAGAAGTAGCTCGTATGTTCTCACAGCAGCAGCAGCAGCAACAGCAGCAGCAGCAACAGCAGCAGCAGCAACAACAGCAAGCACACCAGCAGCAGCAACAGCAGCAGCAGCAGCAGCAACAGCAGCAGCAAGCGGCGGCTCCTCCCCAACCCCAGCCCCAGTCCCAGCCCCAGGTAGCTGCTGGACTCCAGCCCCAGGCTCAGGGACAGCCGCCCAGGTTGGGCAGGCAGCCAGTGAACCAGGTTGGGGACAGTGTGCCATGGGGTAGAGGTAGGAGACAAGGCATGGCACGCTACAAAGGGATGGGAAGAGGAGGATAGAGAAGGAAGGGAAAGGTTCCAAGTGGAAGGTTCGAGCTCAGTCTTCCACTTCTCATTTCCACCTCAGTTCCAGCGTCAGGGCCTTCAGCAGACCCAGCAACAGCAACAGACTGCAGCTTTGGTCCGGCAGCTCCAGCAGCAGCTCTCCAGTAAGCCTGCCCGCCTTCCTTCCCAGAAGAGGCCCGTGGAATAAATGGGCAGGGTTGGGGGGATGTGTAACTGAGGCAATTGCTTCTGGGTCAGGTTGTGGGCAGAGAAGCATCCCTTCCCTTAGCACTTGAATAGCTTCCCCCATGCCTGCCCAGAGCCCTGCTTGGCCTTCCACCCCTAATCCTCTCTGGTTTTTCGCAGATACCCAGCCACAGCCCAGTACCAACATATTTGGACGCTACTGAGCCACCTGGAGGAGCCGCTTGTGACTGGATGTGACCCCACCCTTTTCTCTGAATTGTTAATCCCCTTCCTGGGCTAGCACCAGTAGTGGTTGGGGCTCTTCCCTCAGGCTCCATTTTTAATAAGTTTTTAGTATTTTTGTTAATGTGAGCCATTGAGCTGTTGGGTTTTGTATATTATTTATATAGAGACCCCAGAGCTGTTGCACCCAATACACAGAGCTTCTTTGCAAAGGGCGCGTGTGAGTTCTGCATGTGTTGGAAGGGCGGGCCCTTGGGAGCGTGCAGGAGGCAGGACGGACAAGCCAGAGCCTTCATTCTGTTCAGATCATCTCCCCTGTTTACTCTCCATCCCCTAAATTTCTCAATTTGAATGGGATTGCTACCTGGGCCCTCCGTCTCTGAAAAAGGGCAGTTCGCCTTCTCAGCCAAATGATGCAGCTTCTGGATAACTTGCCTCCACGGCCGGTGTTCCATTGGGATTGGGCAGTGGCCAACGAGGCAGGGGAAAGGGCAGTGGAACCCGATTCTTCCACCCATCCCACATGCTGCATTTTAAACAAGCTTGGGGGGGTGGGGGCGTGGCAGACACTGAGACACTGTCTACCCTTTTTGCCACCTCGTGTGATCCCCATCATGTACCAAGTGGTATCCGAGACAGAGACCCTCCCTGAGAACCACACTGGTGGAATGAAAAACCGCCTCCATTAGCAAGGGGTCCACACTGAGTAGGTGGAAGAAGGCTAGTGTGCTCCCAGGGGGAAGAGACCAGTGAGAGGGAACACCCTTTCCTCTCTCTGCTGTTGCTGGAACTGCTTTGTTTCCCATGATTCACCCTGGCAGTTACCCAGGTAGTTAGTGGTCACTCACATTTTAGAGTAGAGATAACTCAAAATTTGCTGCAGAGTCACAATTGGTACTATGCAGGACCATGCTCAGCCCCCTCCCCGGTGGGTTCGAGGCCCGAAATCTAAGGCTCAACAGGGCAGTCGACTGGTTTACTACCATGGAGTCTTCCGGTGTGCCCAGCCAGGGCTGGAAGTGGACCAGCTCCAGTCCTGTGGGCAGGCGTACAGGATGATTTGACAACTTCAGAGTAACATCCAGGACATATTTGCACTGTATCACTGGGAAGTGCCGAGTGTGCTGCTAAAACCAGGGACACCAATCCGTACCTAAGTTATAAAATACAAACAAATAAACTCCATCTTTGAGGTCTACAAAGAATGGGACTACAAGTTGTGTGCTCAAGGAATGGAACTCCCTGGTAGGGCAAAGGCAAATGTGACCAAAGCTTTTTCCTGCTGAACATTCTGAGGAGCTCCAGGGGTACAGGCTTGGCTGGGATAAGGGACACTCAGAGGGGTGGGGTGGGGGGGCCTGCTAAGCAAACTGGACAGGTGCACCACGTACAGGAACACGAGACACAAAGACAGCCGGGTCTAGAGGGGCTACTTGCTGACAGGCAAGCTGACACGCCCCACCAGGAGCCGCAGAAAGGAACCTTACAGACCTCTGAGAGAACTACAGGATGAGGGCAAAGTGCCCCCTCCCCGTCGGTGCTACTTGAGAAGCGCTGTGCTCAGGAGGGATGAGGGATGCTGAGTGTGGTGGAGATGTGTCTGTAGAGTACAACTAGGGGACTCCTGCAGGCAGTGCCTCAGTTTCTCCCTTTGTCTCAAGGTCTCAAGCTTTGCAGGTGAAGTTTGGAATAGCTGCCCTGGAAGATCACCTGTTTGTGATCTGAGTGGGGTGTGCGGGAGGAAGAGGGATTGCATGAGCGATGCGTGCTTGAGCATGGGAGGAATTGGGCCATGCCCCAGGACTTGAACCATCTCTGGCACAAAAGGAGTTAATGGCAGGGACCGCGCCCCCCATGTCCAGGCACGCGCAGCGCGCCCCTCGGTGCGCGGGCACAGCAGCCAGGCAGCCGAGAGCAGATCTCGGGGATTCGGGTGCAGAGCCCTTGGCCTGGAGGCGATATGGGTGGTCCGCGGCCCGGTTCGGGCGCTCTCAACAGCCAGGGGAACAGGTGAGGTTGCCTGCCCCGGGCTCTCATCCTTTTTAGCTGCCCATACCCTGCCCCGATCCTATCCCTTCCCAAGCTCGGGCTTCTCCACTCCCCAGTCAGTGCTCCCCATCCTTCTCAACACCATGTTCTCCATCAGCACCCCTGACACCCCAATCCTCCCCCCTTCGCTCCTCCACCTTCTTGAATCCCGCATCCCTGTCATCCTCCTGCCCATGGTCCCTCTATTTCCACAGCCCGGCCCGCATGCTCATCAAAATACCCCTACTGAGGGCCCCCAACCCCATTCCTGTATTGCACGTTGCCAGTCCCCCCTCCCCCGCAGTGCAGCCCCATTCCTTTTCCATCATAGCATCTCACAGCCAGGCTCCCTCCCCCATTCTCTGCAGCCCCCCCCCCACCAGAGGCCTTTATCCTATCCTCCCTGTTCCAATGCAGCTCCATCCCTCGATTCCGTCCGGAGCCCTTGTAGCCCCCAATACTGCGGTTTGCCCTGCCAGTGCATTCCTGCACAATGTCCCTCGCCCAATACCGCTCTAGCCTAAAAAGTACCCCGAGATGCCATTCTAATCCCCGGCATTGCCGCCTCCCCTTGTCTTCTCCCAAATTGCAAGTTGGACCAGGTTGCAGATCTTGGCCTTGGGGACTCACTGTGGGTCCTAGGGTACAGAGGGCGTTTGGGGGTCGATTTGTCTAGGTGTTCACGGGGGAGGGGCTGCAGGGAATTGACTCAAATCGGATCGACATTTGGCGCCGAAGGGGTACTAGAGAGGGAGGCATCCAGAAAGGGTTAATAGAATTTGTGGGGAGGGGCAGCACCGAGAGGGTTAATGGTGTGGGGGGGGTGCTGGTGGGGAAGCCGTGTGAATGAGCGGTCTGTGCCCCAGAGTTGCCATGGAGATGGTGAATGGGGGGATTGTGTGAACTCAGCTGCGGACTATCCCCCCCATACACACACACACCCACTCCCTCCTGCCCCACCTCCCTACTCCTACCCCTTCCTTCCCCTGCCCCTCCTCCCCCAACCCGGGTACATTATGGGCAGTGCCTGGGATCTAACCCCCCCAATACTTTGCTCCCCATTTCCTCTGAGATCCCACCCCTTTAGTCGCTTTGCCCGCCCTCCCTCCTTCACCTCCTTCTGCGCTCGCGCGCCCTCTCTCTCTGTCTCTCTTTCCGTCTCTCTCTGTCTCTGTCTCTGTCTGTCTGTCTGTCTCGCGCTCTCTCACACACACACATTCTCATTGCCCTCTCGAGGTGGCCGATTGCCGGGCGGTTCCCAATCTCCCTCCCCCACCCCTTCAGGCAGTTCTTAAAGTCTTAAAGGAGAAGGCCTGCAATCTTGGAAACCCAGAGAAATGGGCGAAAATAAAATTGTGTGTGTGTGTGTCCATGCACAAGTGTCTTTGTGTGCCTGTGGATATGTGTTGACCGTATAACTGTCAGAAGGTCTCTGTGTCTTGCTTGTGTCGCTATTTCTGTTTCTGTCTCCACCTATGTGTCACCCTCATGCTGCATGTGTTTTTGGATATTTACCTGAGCAGTGCGTGTGATTATGTTTTAGTAAAGTCTCTGTGCGTCTCGGAATGTATGTCTCTGTCGGTCTCTGGATCGGCGACACTCTCTGTCTCAGAATGTGGCACTATAGGAGGGGATGTCTGTGAGTTTGGAATGTGTCTCTGTGAGTGCAAATTGCAGTTTCTGTTAGCCACCTTGGTCTCTGTCACTCCCTCTTTGAGACTTTGTGAGTTTATTTCTGTGAGGCTCTAAGTGTGTGTTCCCCGCACTCCGCTGTTTATTTTCCACTGGCTGAGCATCAACAATGCCTAGGGTGCTAGGCAGAAGGGTTTCTGCTTCAGTTCTGGCACTCTGTGCCACTCAGAGATAGCTGACAGAAATAACCGTGACCGAGGATTAAGGATTTGGGAGCATTCAGAGCTGAGGAGAAATGTACAGGAGGATCTCATGGCTGCCTTGCCCCCTGCCCCTGCCCCTGCCCCCCCCAACACGAGGGGTCTCTCTGCTGGACCTTTTGCCTATCTGGGACCCTTTGCCTGTCTGCGACTTTCCCTTTTTGTGCCATAAAGTACCAGAGGTTCCCAATCCTGTCTCCTGACTCACAGGTCTCTCCATGGGCTTTGCCCTGAGAGGTGGGGGTCAGAGAGCTCAGTGGTCATGCACCATGCCCAGGGACCTAAACTCTAGCTCTGGTTCTCCTTGGCCCTGCTGTCACCTGTGACTCTGGCTCCAGCTGGCCCCCATGAGCTCCACTGGCTGAGGAGTTCAGGTAGGGCACTGAGAAGTTATAGTGGCAAGCGCTGTTACTCTGTCAATGCCCTTGGGTTTTCCAACCATGGCCAGAAACATAGAATGCTTCCAACTGGCAGTGGAAATTGTCAGTGAGTCCCTGGACCCATGCACCTGGGAAACCTCTCCAAAATGTGGGATAAATAACCCAAGCCCAGCAGGGCTCTGCTGACCCACTCCACAGCCCTCCTGACCATGCCGGATGACAAATACTTCCCTCTTTCCACAGGCCTGTCTGGTCCTGAGGGAGTTCCCTTTCCGAAGCTGCGGTGCTTGGACGACCTGCTCTCTACGTGGCCGGGCACCTGCAGGTGTCCCTGAAGAGCTCAGTTTTGAGGTTCAAGTCTGTATGGCCATGAAGGGGCTGCCTGTTGGGCTGATGCTGTGACCCTGGAGTCTGCCTTTCTTGCCAGTCCCCCTGCCCGGAACATGTGGCTGCGGCTTGGCCTGCCCTCGCTGTCCCTGAGCCCCAAGCCCACAGTCGGCCGGAGCCTGTGCCTCACCCTGTGGTTTCTCGGCTTGGTGCTGAGGGCCAGTACTCAGGCCCCGGCACCCACAGTCAATACTCACTTTGGGAAGCTAAGGGGTGCCCGGGTACCACTGCCCAGTGAGATCCTGGGGCCTGTGGACCAGTACCTGGGGGTGCCCTACGCAGCTCCTCCGATCGGCGAGAAACGGTTCCTGCCCCCTGAACCACCCCCGTCTTGGTCAGGCATCCGGAACGCCACACACTTCCCCCCAGTGTGCCCCCAGAACATCCACACGGCTGTGCCCGAAGTCATGCTTCCCGTCTGGTTCACTGCCAACTTGGATATCGTCGCCACTTACATCCAGGAGCCCAATGAAGACTGCCTCTACCTGAATGTCTATGTGCCCACGGAGGATGGTGAGTGCTGCGGCCAGGCACTGTCCCCTCCCCGCCTCCCACCTGCCCCATTGTGTTTCTGGCTTGCATGTGGTTGTGTGCCCTGCAGCATGCATCCGTCTGTCTGTGAAAATGCTTCTAACCATCACTCTGCTCGGCCTCCCCCTTCCTCCTCCCTTTTCTTCCCTCTCCCAGCATTGTCCGAGCTCCCATGTGTGAGTGACACTGTCACCAGGAGGGGCCAGGCCAGGCCCGAGAGCTTTGATGAGTCTAGGGCCAGAGTGCTGGATGGGGGTCCCCCGGGGGAGTATGGGTCACTGCCCGCAGCTGCCCGCGGGAGGATGCTGGCTCAGCCAAGCCCCCTGTAGCCATTCCACCTGCCTTGAAAGGTGGTAGCTGTTTGTAGCCAAGGGACCTGGGTGCGTGTGCGGGGGGCGGGGTGTGGGGACGAGCCTGGTGGGCACTGCATAGGTGCCTCCGCTTTGACTAGCTGGTGCCTCCTCCCGCGGGGGTCACGTTAAGGTAAGTGACAGAAACATGGAGGTGGTGGGACAGGCTCTCTGCCATGTGCCACCTGCAGAGCAGCTCTTCGGGCCTGGGGGTGGGGGTTGCATGCCCCTGGGCAGAGGCCTCCTGTTATTTTTTAGTTTTTTATTCATTTTACAGTAAAGCGGATTTCCAAGGAATGCGCCCGAAAGCCCAACAAGAAAATTTGTAGGAAAGGAGGTAGGTAGCGAGCCGGCGGGGAGGGAGAGAGAGAGAGAGAGGGAGGGCTGCCTGCCCACCTGCCCTTGCCCCTGAAGACCCAGCCTTCCTTCAAGTAGCCCGGGCTCAGGGGGCGGTCGGTGAGCAGACCTAAGCTCCACCTCATTCAAGGGCCCTGGCTGCCCTTTTCAAGGAAGATTTGGTGGCCTTAGGCAGGTTCAGAGCAGAAACAGCAAACCCATTTCTTCCGGTCTTCCCAGCCCACACTTCCACCCTTAAGTGTGTGCCAAAGACAGAGCCGCTGGTTCTCCCCCGGGGCCACCTCGAGAGAACTCAGGGCAGCCAAGGTGGGGCCGGAGGCTCTGCCCTTTTCCCGGTGGAGGAGCCATGGGCTCATCGCTCCGCGTTCTTTCCCAGGTTGGTAGCCTAGACTTAACTCTTCAGCCCTGAAACTGAGACAAAACTTGGACACGGGCTTATAATCCTGCCACCCAACCCCACCCCACCTCCAGCCAGGGCTGGTCTGGTGGCAGATCTGGCGGGGAGGGGGGGGGGGTCTCTGGGAACCATGGAGTCTAAAGGAGGCACGAGATCGTGCATTTGAAGTTGACCTTCTTGCTGGGAGAAATGTATTCCCCCTGTATAATAAATCTTCGTCTTCGAATAGCACTTTATGTTTTCTGTAAAGTGCTTTCATACTTACCTCATAAGATCCTCCCCACGTCTCTGGAAGCTTCTAAGGCAGGAATCAGTATCCCCATCTCACAGATGAGGAAACAGGCCCAAGGGAGTGACTTGCTGCTGCTCAAGGCCCCATCGCTGGTCTGTGGCAGAGCTGGGACCAAAACCTGGGTCTCTTGACCCTCAGGGCAGCGATCTTTCCACTGTAGCACGCGAGGCAACTCCACGCGCCGCAACTCCCGTCGTTGAGTCATTCCCACCTCCCCAACTCCGGAAACTAGTAAAGTGTGGATGGGTTGGGCCAAACTGGGAACAGTAGGAGTTTAATTAAGGAACTGGTGGAAAATCAGCCTGATCCCTACAACATTTTGGCAAGCTTGGAGTTTGCTTTCTTTTGATATCCTGGAGCAAGGTTCCCCTAAATGGGACCAGGTGCTCCCTGCTGGAAGAGAATCTCAGGGAGCAGAGCCCGGGCTCTCCATATTGGGCATGCGCATTGAGTGCTTTTGATGCTCTCTACGCAGTGAGTGAGGCCTGCTGCCCCAACGATGAAGGGGTGTCCCACCCTATCCCCATACCAGCCCAGGACCCTACACAAAGTAGAGTATCAGTAAACACCAACCCCCCTTTTTTGGATGAATGAAGAAACACTGTGGTACTGCAGCAAAAGTACAGGTCTGGCAGCCACAGCGCCTGACCAAGTGAGTCCCAGCTTCGCTGCTAACTCACAGTAAGACCTTATAAGGCAAGTCTTTTCCTTTAAGAGCCTCTGTTTCTGCAACACCTGAAGGTGGTAGAGGACTTGTCTGTCCTTAACATACCATCAGCTTATCAATGAATTCAGAAAGCGGGGGCCCCTTGAACCTGCTCCTGTAAGTTATTTATTTGGTGAGGGGAGGAAACGACCGTAACTTTTAACCATTTCCTACCAGGAATGATCTCCCCAGGGTCCCATTAAGAGACTAGGGCAGTCCAATCCAGTCCTGAGACTCTGGCTAGAGAGCTAGCTGTAAGCACCCCCCAGATACATTTCCTGATTGTATTAGTTGACTTCGGGCAAGACTGAATGCTAGGTGTTGTTGGGATGTGGAGAAGTATGAATGAGACAGATTTAGAAATAACTGAAGGTCTGATCGCCGCTCTGAAGAGGCTTCTTGCCCAGTATTTAGTCTCAGCTGGTCTAGCTAGGCCCCACAGGCCGCCTTGGGATATGGGGTTTCAGACCATGTCGGGGAGGTCATTTGGTCATTCAGCTGCTCAAAGTAGTTCCCTATCCAGGGCCCACTGGCCATTTGGAGGAAACTCATCTGCAGAGGTGATTTGAGTTGTGTGCTTAAGGAAAGGCACAGCTGGCTGGGCTGGGATCCCGCAGCAGTACCGTGTCAGGATGGAAGATGGTGGGTGAGCTGGCCTAAGTGACAGGCACAACAGCAGGGAGTTGTTCAACAAGTGCTAAGCTGAAGGAACAAAGGCATCTGTGTGGAGGAGGCTGGGACAGTGCAGCAACCCAGGGACACTCCTGGGGGGTGGGGGAAGAACGTGTCTTCTAAAACAGGGCCCATGGGAAGCAAGGATTTCCTGGGGAAGACCTGCCCCATCCTCACCCCCCACCCCCATCAGATTGGAAGAAATTCATGTTTAGGGATGAGTGATTCCTTTCCTTGTAGGGGGGCACTGTCCACTGTGTGGATGGTGATGCCCCGGGTCCTGCAGGGTCTCTGAGGGCAGTCCTGGCAGGTGTGAAGATGGTAGATGCCACTAGAAGTTTGGGAAGCTGGAGGCAGTCTCTGCCCCTTGGGCTGGGCAAGTGCCCTGGTTGCAAAGCCATTTTATATTATGAGGGTGGTTCCTGGTTTGACTAATAGCTGGAAGGGAATTCAGTCACCCGGAGCCCAGGCCAGCTGAGAAAGAAGGCTATATGCTGCCTCCAGGCTGAAAGTATCTGGTGTCCTAGAGAAGAGGGGAAGCCCTGGGTGCCAGCAGAATGACCTCTGTTCGCACACACTGCCCAGCATCCGGGAAGTAGGTCCCCTTTCTCCAGAGCCATTCATTCTCAAGGTGCACTTCTCGTGTCCTTACAACAAGAAGAAGATTTGGTGCCAGCTAACCCCCAGGTCCTAAGTGTCTCTCTGCTCTCCTCTGATCTCTTCTTTTCTCTCCGTCCCTTCCCTCCCTTCCCCTCCACGCTCCACCTCTTTTCTCATTTATTTTTTCCCTCCCCTTCCCATCATCCCCAAAAGATGGCATGGTGCAGTGGAGAGACCATGGGCTTTGGAGTCAAGTAGACCTGGGATTGACTCTCACCTCTAGCACTTTCTAGCTGTGTGATCTTGAGCAAGTCACTTGCCCTCTCTGAACCTCAGTTTCCCCATCAGTAAAGCCAGAATAAAGATCGTAGCCACCTCACTGGAGTGTAAGAATCAAACCACATGGCAGAAGTACAGTGTCTGGCATGTGATAAGTATCCAGTACACAGTAGGAACTATCACCATTATTCCTCTCTCTCTTTCTCCTCACCCCCATTTCTTTGTTCCCTCCTCCTTCTTTTCCTCCCTCCTGTGGCTTTCTCTAGATCTCAGAGCAAATCTTGCTGCTCTCAGGCCTGGTTCCTATGGGCAAGAACCCCATTCACCATTAATCAGAGCAAGGGCCCCAACAAGGAAGACCAGAGGGGCAGCTTCTTTTCCCATTTTCTCCTGTAGGAATCAGGGTCAACTGAGGCCCACTTTGAGCCTGCTCACTGGGCCCAGGGAGCTCAGGGCTGGGATCTCCTGGCACCTTTCTCTGCCCTGATAGCTTGCATCCATTTCCACACATGCTGGCAGTGCCACCTCTCACACTCAGTGCCTGCCCCTGCTCTCCAGCTCGGCCTGCCTGTGTACACATGAACAGCCCCTCACGGATGCAGAGGAGAGAAATCCCTTCCCTGAGTGGCTCTCTGGCTCTGTGCCCTGGCCCACCTGCTGCTACCTCCTCCCTAACTGGGAAGGCAGTTGGTCCGTTGGTCCAGATGGGCTGTTGGGGACAGGGAGGCGGGGCAGGGAGGTGCAGGGAGGCCAGCATAGCAGGGGCCTGCAACACCATCATCCTGATGAAGTTCTGGGCCTCAGCCTGCCCACTCCCTCAGTTCTTGCCATCCCTCCTGCCTGTCCTGGGCCCAGGCCCAGAGCTGGCTTGCTGGGCCACACTGCAGTCATGCTGTTTTTGAATTCTCTCTCTGTTTTGTTCTCTGTTCTGTGCTGTTGTGTCTCCCCGTGTCTGGTCCCCAGGATCCGGCGCTAAGAAACAGGGCGAGGACTTAGCGGATAATGACGGGGATGAAGATGAAGGTATTTGGGGGCTGCAGGGCGTGGCGGCTGGTGCATGGCACAGAGCCCCTCCCCCTCTCGATGGGGAGAAGCCCCGTCTGTCTGTCTGTCCGTCCGTTGGTGTGTTTCTGTTTCTGTGCAAGGCCGTTGGGCTGTTCATCCATCTTTGGCCTGATTGGCCACTGGGAGATCCAGGGTGATGGACATGGCTGGCGGGGGAGCAGGGGACCACAAGCAGAGCCATGAGGAGGTCCTCGGCCCACTCCCCTACCCATTCTCAGTCCCACGGTAGCAAGCGGAGACTGCTGGAGACAGTTCCTCCCCATCTGCTGTGTGGTTCATGGGCCCCTGCGCCTACTGAGCAGCAGGGAGAGTGGAGAGAAATCAGGGCTGTGGGAGGGTGCGGAGATGCTTGTTTCACCCAGGGGATGCCTGTGTTTTCTGGGGAGACTGGCTGCTGAGACGGAGGCTCAGCAGGATGTTGAACTGAGGACTGAGGCAGTGACAAATGAGAGAGGGGTTGGACAATCGCACTAGCTAGAATCTCCCCCAGCCTTCTCCCAGCGAGACAGAGATGGCCTTGGGGCTGCAGGCTGCAGGCTACAGTGGGTGCAGGACAGGGCCAGAAGGACTGGGGACGAAGGCGCCAGGCTGAGGCCAGGATACCACAGTGCAGTCGGTAGATGGCATGAGATCCTTGAGTGATGGCTGAAGCACTCTTCCTTTGTCCTTGGGAAAACAGGGTGTGTTTACTCGGTGGCACAGAACTTTCCCTTCTACCTCCATGTCCTGGCCCTGCCCCTCCACCCATGGAGGGGCCAGACAGCTCAGGGGGCCCACTGGTGGCTGGCGGGGCTGCACTTGTCTGGCCAAGTGTCGAGAGGCTGCAGGTAGAGGTGATCAGGCTGAGCCTCCTCCTGAACTCCATCCTGCCCCCGCCCCCGGGGCTGCCCGGGTTGGGGAGCAGCCACTTTAAGGTCCCTTGCTGTATGGCCTCTTGGAGGCTCCATCTTCATCTTATTGCTGATGGGGGGGGGGTCTCTCCTTCTTAGTTCTGCCCTTTCCTCTTCCACATCCCTCCCCAGTGGCTCCAGATAAGTCTGCCCGTTGCGCGGGGAGAATGGGGTACATGAGCACATGGCTGAGAGACCATGTCACTAAGGTTCCCCCTACCCCATCTCTGCCATTCACTGCCCTTCCCCCACATTCTTCCTTGTTCTCTCCCTGTGCTACCCCTTATTCCCACCCCTCTTGTCTCTGTCTGCACTGGGGGGCCAGCTGCTGCCAATGGCCATATTTTCATGGAACTGGTCTAGTCTTGGGGGTTCCAGGGCTCCCCAGCCCCTGCTCTCTAAAGCCATATCAGGTCCCAGGACTCCTGGGTGCCCAGGGCAGGGACTCACTTGATCCAGCCAAGGGGCCAGCCCTTCCTCTTCCTCCTGCCCCACTCTTGCCTCCACAGCCCACCTAGGCCTCACTGTATCGAGTGCACTTGGCTGCTGGGAGGCACTTGAAAACATCACTGAAGTCCAGAGACATTAAAAACATCACTGAAGTCCAAGTGTCTCTGGCTGATGCTTGAGCTCCAGGCTGAGCAGCTCCATGAGTCCTGCCCTCAGAGACGGCGGTGGTGTCCTGGCACCTGGGATAGCTTTGCTGCCCACACCCCTCCCCCCAGGGGCTGGCAGGGGTGGGGGAGGAAGGGCATCCTACCCAGCCTGTATCTCACCCCTTCTCCTTACAGACATCCGGGACAGTGGCGCTAAGCCCGTCATGGTCTACATCCACGGAGGCTCTTACATGGAAGGGACAGGCAACATGATTGACGGCAGCGTCCTCGCCAGTTATGGCAACGTCATCGTCATCACCCTCAACTATCGGGTTGGGGTGCTAGGTATGGTTCCCTGCTAGGCACCTAGAAGGAAGCCTGGGTTCTCCAGGAGGGAGGAAAGGATGCTGGGTAGTTAAGACCTGGTGGCCTTGCCTCTCTAGGTGGTGCTAATGAGCACAGTCAAAATGCTGTTGTTCCATTACCCCTACCCAAGTAGTGGGAGCTCCCCTATGGCCCCAGGCTGTTTCCTGGATGTTCAATTCAAACTTCACACTTCCTCTTAGGCCTGTCCTCTCTTAGGCCAGGTCTCTGCTCCCAGGCTTTTGCTTCTCTGACTCTTGTAGGGCCCATTAATTTCCTAGTGTCCTGTCCTCATCCGTACTCACCGACATCACACAGCCCTAAACAGCCTACACACACACAGATATCTCTTCTAGCCAATCACATATCCACACACCCACACATCCTCACATGTTCACACATGCACTCCGCCCTCATTCACCATCATGCATATGGTGATTTCTCACTCCCTCCGTAAGCATAGACACGTATCCATACACGTTTAGACCCCCACATCCATATCTATAGACCCCCTCATATATATACACATTCCCCCAGAATTTTATATGCACTCTAGTCTCCCCCCCACATATCCACATGCCCATATGTCTCTATATACTCCGTGTCCCTACCCCACATGTACACGGTTTGCTCTCACCATCTACACACACACACACACACACACACACACACACACACACAGATTCCCATATATCTCTCTCCACAGATTTATACCCACATCTACACCCATCCATACACATCGCACATAACCACAGTCCCTTTCCTCTACCCCCATATGTCTGCTCCGCACAAAAACTTATACTGTGCACATTCACACACAAACCCTACACATATATACCTTAAATATACATATATATTTCTTCCACACAAACTCATTTCCCCTTATGCACCTCACATCTCCATCCATCCAACACCTACATAGACATATATATCCCTCACTTTCCCTACATAAACACAAACCTATATTCCCCCTTCCTACACGTAAACGAGTACACCCACACCTACATAGCCACACCTCCCCACCCCCCCACACAAATAGTACACACACACACACATCTCACATCCCTGCTTCCACATCTACATCTATATCCCCTCACATATATACACATCCAAAGGCCCCCTACACATATACCCACGTGCACACATGTCCCATATATACCTTGCATATATACATGCAGTACATGCATATGTACATATTCTCAGCCTACCCTACAAACGTATACACGTTCATATACTCACACCTGGCCATTCATGCACACACATCTCTATTCACCCCCACATTCCTGCACACCCATACTTATCTACCCCATATACACACACGTACACATTTCTTCTACTCTGTCCATGTATACATCTCCATTCACTCCCATGCATTATACAAACACACTCTCACGCATACGCTTATTTCTGAAATGCCTCCTCCTACACACCCACATGCCCTTCCCCACACGCTCTCTGTCATCCACATGCTTGTTTCAGTGATTCAGGCTGCCACACTACCCTGCACCTTCCTTGGTGACTGATAACGCCAACATGTGGCAAAGGTCTTGAGGTAAACAAGTGCTTCAGAGAGGATGACTAAGCATACAGGTCCTTATTCCCTTTTGGATGGTCACCTAGGCCTCAGATGGCACATGCAGCCCTGTATCCCTGGAGCCAGGAGGGTTTGTGTCCTCAGAGTTGCAGCGGGGGCCGATTGTTGGGTCTGTAGGCCTGCATGCTGAACGAGCAATTAGGCATGGCTTCCTGCATGGCTAGCTGGCTGACAGGACCTTATTTTAATTTGCTTTTGAGTATACTGCTTTGCCAGTTCTAATCCCAGAGGGCCATGGTACAGCCTTTCAATGGTGGGTGCAGTTATGTATGCAAAAAGGCAATTTGATCTTTTTTAAATAAAGATTTTATTTATTTATTTCTAGAGAGAGGGGAAGGGAGGGAGAAAGGAAGGGAGAGAAAAACATCAGTGTGTGGTTGCCTCTCACGTGTCCCCCCAGGGGGGGGGCCTGGCCTTGCAACCCAGACCTGCGCCCTGACTGATAATTGAACCTGCGACTGTTTGGTTCACAGACCAGTGCTCAGTCCACTGAGCCTCACCAGCCATGGTGCAGTCTCCTCTTCACTTACCCTCAATACTATGTGGGATAGCAAGATACTGTTTGAGGGTTCAGACTGGAGAAGTGATATTCCCTGGAAAAAGTGGAGCCTATGTCCCCTTCAGTGGCATCTGGAGACCGGGAATGAAGCACACGGGCATCTCCCCAGTCTGTCAACAGTGTGGTTCCCCCATCTCTGGGTTCCATCGTGTTGCTGTCCTCTGTCTCTCTATGTTGCCCCAGACATCACAGCGGGACTCTCCCAGGCCGTGCTGTCCTGGCGAGAAAGAGGAGTTGAATCTCTGACAGTAAAATGTCCCTTGAAGGTGGTGGCAGCCCCACATTCTAGGGCTGCACAGTTCCTCAAGAGTGATGCATATGCAAACGTCCTCATACACAGATATACAAGTGCCCTTACCCAGTAGTTTAAGGCCAAAAGGAATTTTGCTACTTTATTTTGTTAGTTTGTAGTAATAGAAAACAATCAACTCAGGTGCTTCTAAAAATTATAAACACAAGGCTTCATTCTCAAAGGTGTATTGGGAAGAATGTACTTCAGTTCCATATTATTATACTGGTTAGGGGTGAAGGATATAGAGAGGAGGGGGGAAAGGGAAGAAACTAAGGAAGAGAGAAAAGGGCATGGGAGAACACAGAGGAAAAGGCGACACAGAAAAGAGGCAGACAGAAGACGGGAGAGGCTTCGATCTAAAGTGTCAGTTGGGCGCTGTGGGCCACACAGAAGCCTGTTGCTGGACAGCGCTCCCTATGACTTGCCGGTTACTTCACACCTTCAGCTGTTCTGACCCTTAAGCTTCTGCAGTGGAAGTTCTTAACCTTTTGGACAGCCTGGGACCCCTTTGAGATTCTGATGAAAACTGTGGACTCTCCCTGGAAACACACACATACACACACACACACACACATAGAAATGATTTCATGGATCCCACTGAAGCTCATCCATGAAACCCAGGTTGGGAACCCCCTACTTTACAAACCTCCTCTCATTTGGATAACCAGAACTGCATATCTTGGAGCATAAATATTTTGGGGGTGTAAGCAGTTAATGATCAAAATAATACTCCTCAAACCTCAGAAGGAGTCATAAAATGAGATTCAGTCAGAAGTTCTTTACTGCTTCCTGGATATTCTTCAGTGCCTCCTCTGAACATGAACATAATTAGTAAGCCACCGATTGGGTTCCAGGTACATACAAGATGATTTTGTCTCTTCACTCCAGGTGTAGAATACGGGTTTGGCCCTGGTACTTGGTAATTTCCCTCAGTGTAGCTAAGACTTTGTTGTTTTGTTTCCTAAACCATCCCAGAACAGGTAGCCAGTTTTGAACCTTGATTACAGCAAGTCCTCACTTAACATTGTCACTAGATTCTGTGACTGTAATTGAAACCACATGGAATGGTACCAATTGGACCCTAGGCTATCAGGGGTGTCCAACCTTTTGGCATGTCTGGGCCACACTGGAAGAAGAGGAGTTGTCTTGGGCCACACATTAAATACATTGTGACACACAATCACACACACACACACACACACACACACACACACAAATCTCATCATGTTTTAAGTAAATTTACAGTTTTGTGTTGGGCTGCATTCACAGCCATCCTGAGCCGCATGTGGCCCACGGGCCGCAGGTTGGACACCCTGATACGAACAAGTTAAGTTCCTGTGGCATCTCATTAGCGTTGTAACATTACAACAAAATGCTATTGAAGGAAACAGCATGATTTGAGGACCTGCTGTACGTGTTTTCATTTACCCTCCCTCCCATCCGCTTCTCTGGAGCACTGAACAGACTGTTCACTCTGAGGTGCTTCTTTAGACATCTTGGGTAATTCATGTATTTGGACAATGTCCAAGGCAGAGCAGCAACTATTATTTGAGATGCCCCACCCCCAGGCTTGAGACCAATAAAAGAAAGGGACCCCAGCAGGATATAGGATGTGGTTGCCCCTGGGGCTCAGGAAGTAGGGGCTCGCCAAGTTTTACTCTGGGTTCCAGAATTTAATCCTACATCCTTGTCCAGGTACCCTTCAGGCAAACCAAAAGCCTGGTAAACATCAAGCATTGTGTGGCACGGATATCTGATTTTGCTGCCATGTGCCAGAGTCCCCTGTCTTCTGTTGACAAGCAACTTACCATGTACGGCGGCATAGACTTGGGCCCAAGGAGACTGGCTGAGATTCTGACAGTCTATGAAGTTTGGTGTTTCAGCCTCATTTTCATGTGCTCTGCATGGATGACTGAGCTACGGGGGAGCTAGCAGTGGGTGACTGCAATTTCAGACTGCTAGCTTTTGTGGACTTGTGGTGGTCATGTTTGCTGTATCATCTTCCCGAGCCTGCTGGATATAGCACTTCAAGTGGGACTCTTGTAGTAGGGAGGGTTGACAGGCATCATCCATGTGCTTCAGTGTTTCTTTCTTATCCCAAGGTTCTTGGCAGTGGAGGGAGTCAAGGATGATGGTTGAACCCTATACCTCCCACCCCTCTCTCTTTTTTTTTTTTACATTTTATTTTATTTTTTTAGAGAGAAGGGAAGGGAGGGAGAAAGAGAGGGAGGCAAAGATCATGTGTGGTTGCCTCTTGCGCACCCCCTACTGCGGACCTGGACCGCAACCCAGGCATGTGCCCTGACTGGGAATGGAACCAGTGACCCTTTGGTTCGCAGGCTGGCGCTCAATCCACTGAGCCGCACCAGCCAGGCCCCCATCTTCAGCCCTTTCAGGCCATTGTTCCTAACCCAGGAAACGAGTACATGTTGGAGCATTCCACTTTACTTCACCCAAATGCAGGCCCTTCTCCCTGATTAGGACAGATGTATTTGACACATTTCACTGAATGACAACTTCTTGGCCAAGGCTAAGGCCAAGGCTAAGGCCAAGTCTGCTGTTACCCAAAGGAGAAGAAAAGGAAAAGAGGGTACAGCAAAAGGGCGGGGTGGCAGGGACAGGTGGGCTAAGAGAAGCACTTAATGATGTTTGCCAGAAGGTCTCAAGGCTTGGACAGCTGGATTGAATCTTGCTCAGCATACTTCTTGAGACTTGCAGGAGCAGCTTCAGTTTGTGAATGGGCCTGGCTAAGGAGAAGCAGTTCCCCCTGTCTAGAGGAACAAGGGCTCCTCCATTCATCCTCATTCAGGCTTTCTCTAATTCCTCCTCGTTTCTTCACTGGGAACCTGGTGCTGAAGAGGGCTTGTGACTGGGTCCTGAGAGGAACAACTAAGTACTTTACATACTTAATTGTACCAAAGGTAAATGAATAACACACTTGAAGAGGGCGAAATGAGATCTCTTGCAGAAGCTAGGAACGGAAGGACTCGAAAAAGACAATGAGGAGGTCTTATGCCTATATGAGACTTTTTGAATTCAGCTTCTGCCCGTGGGCTTCCAGGACAGTCAGAGAGCTCTCTGTGAGCTTAGGGAGCCTTCTCTCACATGTCCTCACAAAGGCAGTGCCAGGTGCTGTGAATGAGCTTTTCACTGTGGGGTCAAAAATACTGATGCAGGTATGGGTTTCCAGAGTGTAAGAGCACCATGACTACCCACGTGGAAAGAATCCTCCCAAAAGCGTATGGTGGGAGGAGACAGCCTTCCAAGGAGTCTGGGGATCAGGGAAGAGGAATGAAATGAGGCAGCAGGATCCATCTTAAAATGGAAGCAAGGTGGGGCACGGCGGGGTGGGGTGGGGTGGGGGGGAATATAGGACATCTCTGTGGGATAGCCAGCAGGTGGGTGGGAACGTAGTCTCCATGGCAACAAGTCTCCACAGCCACAAATCCCAGCAGGTGGGTGGGAAGGTAGTCTCCATGGTGACATGTCTCCCCGGCAGCAAATCCCACTGGGTGGGTGGGAAGACATGTTTCTGTGGTAACGAACTGCACTGACTTCCCTATTTCTCCATCAGATGAAAAAGATGGTGTAACCCAGGGGTTTTCCAACTTTAACAGGCATCAGAATCACCTGGAGAGTGTGTGACAAACACTGATTGCTGGGCCCCATCCTGGAGTTTCTGATTCGTTAGGTCCTTGGAGGAAGGGAATGAAGATCTGCCCTGAGAATAAGAGGAAGAGGGTATCCGAAGCCCTGGGAAGAAGTGGAGATGGACTCACTTGTACAGGAAGGGCAAGGAAAGCTTAGGAATCGTTGCCTTTTGGGATGGATCTTCACTTTCTTCAGAGAGAGAAGGGAGGGAAAAGAGAAGTAGCTATAAATGTGCAATGTGCTCAGCATATTGGAAATGTTTATTTATACTCCTTTTATCCTTGTAACAACCCGTTGGAGCACTGTTTAATCTCTACTTTACAGAGGAGGAAGCTATAGCTCAGAGATTGTAGATAATTTGCCCAAAGCTACACGGTTAGTAAGTAGTAGAGACAGGACTCAAACCAAGGACTATTTGAATCCAGAGCCCTTGCTTTTTGGCACTCTATCTTGCCAGGTGCTTGAGTCATGATGCAGATAGTGCATCAGGGCACAGGATGCTGGGTCCTGGCCATGTGCAGTTTCTGCAGGTTAAGTCTCCCAGCTAGACGCATCCCCTTCCAATGGTCTGGAGACCCCCTCCTTCCAAACCAAAGAATGGTGGGAGGTAGGGAGCTGATCTTTGCCGTACTGATGTTTGCTGGACCTTGCAGAAAGGAGTACTGTTTCTGATAGCTAGGTGAATTAGAACTAAGCTGCATGCCCACTGTCCTCACAGCCCCGACTCCTGCTGCTATTGTACCCAGGTCTTCCATTCCTCCATCTTCACTGTCCTCATGCCCTTTGTTGAATCCAGGTTTCCTGAGCACCGGAGATCAGGCTGCCAAGGGCAACTATGGGCTCCTTGACCAAATCCAGGCCCTCCGCTGGGTGAGCGAGAATATTGCCTTTTTTGGTGGCGATCCGCGCCGTATTACTGTCTTTGGCTCGGGCATCGGCGCATCCTGTGTCAGCCTCCTCACATTGTCACATCACTCTGAGGGTGAGTAGCTCTGGGGGCAAAATATGAACGAGCAAAGCACACCGGCTACCCACCCTGCACCTCAGGCCTTACAGCCTCAAGAGTGCCCTGCTCCGTGCCCAGGAACAGCAGGGGAATCAGGCCACCCTCAGCTCAGTATCCCTTTGGGGAGAAGCAGAAGGGAGATGTTTCTCTAGGGGAAGAAGGAATTCTCCCGGCGCAGGAGAGAGTCCCACCTACAGCTTGAGAAAGTGATCCCATTCACATCTGCTTCCGACGTGGGAGTCTTATTTGGGAGAGTGGAGACCCAGTGCTTCTCTCTGAAGGGACAAGGTTTCTTTTTAAGGCAAGGAAGTCTTTCGGCTAGGGAAGGACATGTGACCGCAAGGTATAGCCCTAGGGTGGCAGTTAGTTTTTAGATGTAAGAAACACTCCTTCTCCGCCTTTCTCTCTGAAGAATTGTACATGAAAGTACAGTTCTTGTACAGTTCTCTGAAGAACTATCCTTGAGTGGGGAGACAGGTGAGGACTGCTAACCTGCAGGATGAGCTTTGTCTGAGGGATGGCCACCTATTATCAGACTCCAGACCTCCTCCCATGCAGTGCATCCCTGCTAAGGGAAGCTCTCATTTTTAGCCCCAAGGAAACCCTCCCTCCTGGCCATAAGTCCCTCAACTCTTCCAGAGGGGCTAAAGAGGCCCTTTTTTGCTCATAGGAAATGTTCTGGTCACCTCTGGACTCTAGCACATTTTGTGTCTGAGACGTAAAGGTGCCCTTCTATGAAGTGAGGACATCTGTGAGAGAAGACATGGTGATTTTTAAAAATAATATAGATTTGTAAAAGATTTTATTTGTTTTTAGAGAGAGGGGAAGGGAAGGAGAAAGAGAAGGAGATGAATATCAAGGTGTGGTTGTTTCTCGTGCACCCCCTACTGGGGACCTGGCCCGAAACCCAGGCATGTGCCCTGACTGGGAATTGAACCAGCAACCCTTTGGTTCGCAGGCCCATGCTCAGTGCACTGAGCTACACCAGCCAGGAGGAAGACATGGTATTTTCACTGAAATCAACCCAAAAATAACTTTCTCTGACCTAGAAATTGCATCTCTATCTCTCCAAGGCCTACCATAGTGGGAGAAGACTAGGGTGGAATCTGCATACCACCTTAGAATGTGTTTCCAGGTGATAGTAATGGGAGCAGGAGTCCCTTTTTCCAAAAAGGAGGGTAAGATGACTGGCTGTGAGGGTGCCTCTGTCAGCAAAGAGGGACGAACAGTGCCTCTTCTGACTGGGGATTGTCCCTGGGAGGAGAAGGCTTTTCTTGGCACTCCGCTCTGTCTCATAGGGAACCCGTGTCCCTACAGGCTCGGCTGCTTTAAGGATTTGTTCTCTCTGCCTCTCCGTCATTGACTCCCAGAGAACAATCTCTCAAAAAGTGAGGCCATCTGTTAAGTCATCATCTGTAGTTCCCTCCCTCTTCCCCACTCATGCACACTGCCTTTCTCATAGAGGAATAAAATTGTATGCCTGAGGCCCAGTTTATCCTTTGGCAATGTTGGGGCCAGGGAGAGAATGATACTCTTTTTTCTTCCCTAAGGAAGAATCATTCACTTTTTGAATTTGGAGGATGGGCTCTCCTTCAACTAGGGGAAAATCTGGATCCAAGGCATCAGCAGCTTCAAAAAAAGGAAAGGGTCTGTGGAGACTATGGACCGGGAAGGCACATTCCCTAGAGACTTTCAGACCCCAAGACCTTTGCCCTCAGAATCCTTCCCCAAACTCCCAGAATGTGATGCTCTCTCCTGCCTGCATTTCTCATCTCTCATGAAAAAGACCCCTTTGTGGTGGAAGCGCCAGCTCCCTGGTGGGGCGCTGGCACAGAACTGGGCCCAGCTGGGCAGGAAGCAAGAGGGGAAGACAAGGAGAGATAAAGAGAGGGAGCATAAGGAAGCTGATGTCTGGGACCCAACGGGTTAATCAATCCTTCCTGGCAGTCCTTAACCCCCAAGTTACCAATCATTGCCCCAGGACAAGGAAGCAAGAAGCAGGTGGGGGGCCAGTCAGGGAAGGGACCCACCGGACCCCTCCTCTGGTTCTCACCAATTATCCTAGCCCAAAGCATTGCTCCTCCTTCCCACCCCATTCAACCCATAAGGTGGCCCAGTAACAAAGGAATGAGGAAGTGTTTCATCTGTCCCTCACGGACAGGCAAGGGGGCCCTGGGCTCTGGGTGACAAGACAGATCTGACCTGGTGCTACCCTGTCGTCTCTCGTAGGGCTTTTTCAGAGGGCCATCATCCAAAGTGGTTCTGCTCTGTCCAGCTGGGCTGTGAACTACCAGCCAGTGAAGTATACTAGCCTGCTGGCAGACAAGGTGGGCTGTAATGTACTAGACACAGTGGATATGGTGGACTGTCTTCGGCAAAAGAGTGCCAAGGAGCTGGTAGAGCAGGATATCCAGCCAGCCCGCTACCATGTGGCCTTTGGCCCTGTGATTGATGGCGATGTCATTCCCGATGACCCCGAGATTCTCATGGAACAGGGTGAGTTCCTCAATTATGACATTATGCTAGGTGTCAACCAGGGTGAGGGGCTCAAGTTTGTGGAAGGGGTGGTGGACCCTGAGGATGGTGTCTCTGGCACTGACTTTGACTACTCAGTTTCCAACTTTGTGGACAATCTGTACGGATATCCTGAGGGTAAGGACACCCTGCGGGAGACCATCAAGTTTATGTACACAGACTGGGCAGACCGCGACAACCCTGAGACCCGCCGTAAAACCCTGGTGGCACTCTTCACGGACCACCAGTGGGTGGAGCCCTCAGTAGTAACAGCTGATCTGCACGCCCGCTATGGCTCACCTACCTACTTCTACGCCTTCTACCATCACTGCCAGAGCCTCATGAAGCCTGCTTGGTCAGATGCAGCTCATGGGGACGAAGTACCCTATGTATTTGGTGTCCCTATGGTGGGCCCCACTGACCTCTTCCCCTGCAACTTCTCCAAGAATGATGTTATGCTCAGTGCTGTCGTCATGACCTACTGGACCAACTTTGCCAAGACTGGGTAAGGAGAAAGTGGGGGTTCTTCTTTGGGACCCCAGCATGCTGTCCCCTCTGCTCCCCTATCTAAATCTCTGCCATCATCTCCCTTCCTAAGGTATTCCCCAAATCGTGCTTGCTAAGCCTTTCACTGCCCTACCTACTTCTTCCTTTGGAGTCTTTCGTGCCATTTCCTTCCCTCAAAAATTTGACTGAGGCTCAGAACTCGGTTAACGTTAGGACTGAGCAGGGGTGAGAGTCATTGGCTGAACTATGGGATTCCAGGTTAAATTGTCAGAGGCCATGAGAAGTGGGAATAAAGCATATTCAGACAGAGCCCTTAAAGGGCTTTCAGGAAAATCGGGCAACTGAGAGGACTGATGGATGCTCAGTAGCATGTGAGAAGAAAAAGTGTCATAGCATGGCCTTACAGGCTGGGCATAGGGGAGGATGAAATGGTTCCATGAAGCTGGGGGGCAATAGGAGTTCAAGGCTGGGGAAGAAGAGTATGGACAAAGGAGGGAGGGAGACTGTGAAAAAGATGAAAACATTGGGAAGTCGGGGGTGAGAGGAAGAATGCTGGGCCCTTACCTCATCTAGGTAGAGTGGTAACCCTAGATTTCCATGTGGTATTGCAGGGATCCCAACAAGCCGGTCCCCCAGGACACCAAGTTTATTCACACCAAGGCCAACCGCTTTGAGGAAGTGGCCTGGTCCAAATACAATCCCCGAGACCAGCTCTACCTTCACATCGGGCTGAAACCGAGGGTCCGCGATCATTATCGGGCCACTAAGGTGGCCTTTTGGAAACACCTGGTGCCCCACCTATATAACCTGCATGACATGTTCCACTATACGTCCACAACCACCAAAGTGCCGCCTCCGGATACCACCCACAGCTCCCACATCACCCGAAGGCCCAACGGCAAGACCTGGAGCACCAAGCGGCCAGCCATCTCCCCTGCCTATAGCAATGAGAATGCCCAAGGGTCCTGGAACGGGGGTCAGGATGCAGGGCCACTCTTGGTGGAGAACCCTCGTGACTACTCCACTGAATTAAGTGTCACCATCGCCGTGGGGGCCTCCCTTCTGTTCCTTAACGTTCTGGCCTTTGCCGCCCTCTACTACCGTAAGGACAAACGGCGTCAGGAGCCCTTGCGGCAGCCTAGCCCTCAGAGGGGAGCTGGGGCCCCCGAATTGGGAGCTGCTCCTGAGGAGGAGCTGGCAGCATTACAGCTGGGCCCCACCCACCACGAATGTGAGGCTGGTCCCCCACACGACACACTGCGCCTCACTGCACTGCCCGACTACACACTGACCCTGCGGCGCTCCCCTGATGATATCCCACTTATGACTCCCAACACCATCACTATGATCCCCAATTCCCTGGTAGGGCTGCAGACATTGCACCCCTATAACACCTTTGCCGCAGGGTTCAACAGTACTGGGCTGCCCCACTCACACTCCACTACCCGGGTATAGCTCCAGCCCAGAGCACAGCCTATCTCCCGGCTCCCTCCCTCCCAGATCTACGAACACACATGCACACACAGACACACACAGAGACACATACAGACATATATGTATACGCACGCACCCACACCCGACAGCAGACCCACCTGCACAAACATAGACGTGGACATGCGCCCGCATGTACAAAAACACAAATAAGGAAGTAAACCTGAACAAACCCTTCAAATGGGGACGCAAATGAGTCCTTGGGAAGCCGAGGACCCATGGAACAGCAGCTGAAGCCAGCTCCTTGAGCCTGACCAGACACTCCTGGGGGCCTGAGAGCACCAGCTGGATACCCCCTTGGTGCTTGCCCTCCGCCTCTCTTGGAACCGCACCACCGACCTACTCCAGACTTGGGAGCTGTAAAGAGCACAGCAGCTCTTTCTCCCCCAGACTTGGTCTTTTTCTCTGGGTCTTGTTTTTGTTGATTTTTTTAAAAAAAAAATGGAACAAATGTTTTTCCAACCTGTGAGTGCAAAGAGGCTGCCAAAGGGAAAGCCCCAGGCCCAGGTCTTTCTGGCTCTGGAAACCCCAGTGCTCACATGATCCAACCAAGGAACGGGACCCCTGAGAAAGAAACAGATTTGAGTAAGACCATGGGGCGGAAGGAGGAAGGGGCTACCGCTGCATGGGATTGGAGGGCCATAGGGGAGAACTGTCCGGCCAGCTCTGCATTCCCATGGCGGGCTGCAGAGTATGCAGCATAGATTCGGTGAATGAGGTTCTGTGGAGGCCATGTCATTATTGGGCCCAGGTATAATCTGGGTTCTGCCTCTGCCCTTGGGGTAATGCTATCAGAAAAACTCACCCCATTTTATTTACAGTCTCTTTTGTGTCTGTCATTTCTCTTTCCAAAAGGCAGTGTTTTTTGTTGTTGTTGGCTTTTTTTTAAAGAAAAGTTCTTAAAACACTAACCGAAACCCATGGAGTTTGTCCTTTGTAAAAATTTTAAACACAGTGTCTTGTTATAAAAATAAAAAATCCAGTTAGCACTCCCAACTTGCCTCCCTTGCGCAGGCCTTGCCCCGACAGACCTCCCAGCTGGGTGCCTCTGCAGGCTGGGAACCAGCTGCCGGCTGCCTCCTGTGCCTTTAGCTGATGTATGTCTGGGCTGCACTCTACTGGGCCTGCATCAAGGCCTCTCCAGTCTTCATCAGGTTGCCATCCCCATCCCCAGGACTCTGGGTTCCTGCTGCTGAAGCCTTCTCTTAGTGCCTCATGGCCTCCTAATGAAATGGCAAAAATAACACTCCTTTCTCTTCTGCGTGCCATCGTGCTGCTGCCACCTCCACCCATGCTGCCATCACCCCCAGGGCCACCACCCTGCCTTCATCCTGGACTTGGAGATGGGAGGAGGTCCAACATTTAACATGCTGAGATTCTTGCTCATATCTGACTCCAGCAAGGCACCAGGCCTGTGGACCCCCTGGCCTTGGGCGACTGACAGAGCAGGGGTCCTCTCCTCCCCAGAGATACTTGTGTCCTGTTCTATGAATTGGAACTGAAAAAGTCACTGGGGCCCTGGGAGCAATTTGTCTCCAGGATTATTATCAGTGGCTCCCTATAGATCCTTAGGGGCAGATTCAGTGGGGTTCCCCAGGGTTAGCATTATGGTATTTCATATTATTCTCAGTGACCTGAAGGGCTGAACCAGTAGTCTGCTTATCAAGTGTGACGGTTGGGTGGGGTTGCTGACACCTCAGAAACCAGGATTAGAATTCTTCAAAGTGACCCTGACGAAATGAGGGAGATGAACAAACACAACAGGAAGATGCTCAGAGGAGACAAACGCAAGGTGGTACAAGGATCAAAACCAAGAACCAGTCTACTTATGTGATGCATGGGAACAAGAGGGATGGGCACTGATTCATTTAATACAGTATAGTTAACAAAAGAACCGGAGGCAGAGGGTCAGGGTGGCTCACAGCTGAATGAGTCCATAGTGTAGAAATGGTTTCTCCTCCTTCCTTCCCTTTTTGCTTTCCCGGACTAATATGAATACTAGCATATAATAAAAATATAGCGTGAACTTACTGGGAAGTAATCAGAGTCTGAGTTACAGAATTAGAAGTCATCTAGTCCAACACACTTATTCTACAACTGGGGAAATGAGCCCAGAAAAGTCCAGTGTCACAGTTAGCATTAGAAACAGACCTGGAATGCAGTCCTGAAATATATGACCTTTCCCATGGTCCTTCCTCAACTTTTTCCACTCTACCTACCATTGGTTATGCCTTTTAAAGCATTAGTGTGTCTGCCTTGGTCAATACATTTTCAGCATAGGTGGAAAAGTGGGAGAGGGTCTGGAGAAGACCAAAAACAATGTGCCAAAGGACTAGGTTTCTTTTGTTAATTTAGAAAGGAGGGACATGTTGCGGTAACATTCAGTAATTGTAGAGCACGTACTATGTGACATGTGTGTTATATCATCTTTAAAAATCTAACCTGTAAATAGGGTAGAGCTGCCATTTCTTCTGAAAATGATAGATAGGAAAAGATTAAGTTAGACACAAGGAAAAACTTTGATGTGGATAAGTGATGATGGTACTTTGTAAGTCACTTCGTAAGTCCTCCAAGGCGGTTGCCAACTTGAATGAAAGACTACTAAGAAAAACACTGCTGTTCATCTTCCTGGAAGCAGAGGGCTGGATTACACGACCTTTTTATCTCAGTTCAAAGTTGTTCTTGTAACAATCCTTTGGTCGCTCCGTCTCAAATATTACCAAATGGGGACTCCTCTCTTCTGGGGAGAGGTTGTATGTACGTGATTATGTGTGTGTCTATCTCCAAACTAGGAGATTCTATTTGGGAAGGATTTAGACATTGCCTCTCCTCTAAGAAGTCAAGGTGCTATAGCAAACCTAGCTCTGATCCTATTTGGGACCCATCAGTGAGAGATTCCAGTTGGTCTTCACATCTTGGAAAGGTCCGAGTGGAAGAGGCAGCCTCCAAGACAGGCAGGGTTTCGATCTGACAGTCAGTGTCATGCCCGGGTAGCTTGAGTGTTCTTAGCCCCGTTGCTGACAGCCAGCCCTGAGCCCAGCTCAAAAACCCAGGTCCTTGTTTGAAGAGAGGCTGAGGATATACTGGGATTTTATTTCACATTGCGGAAATCATTAGTGCCTAGACTGGGTCCAGCCTGCATTCCTGGACTTATCTGGTTTCTGTATTAGTCCTTTGGAGAGCTGGACACAGCTATCTTGGGGCCCAAACGTGTGGTGTGTGCAAAGGACTAGAGGTTGGTCACTGTGGAAATATCCATACAAAGGGAATATGGTTGCCAAGGCAGTAGGCCTGGCCCTGTGCTAATTTATATACTGTGATGGATAGAAGATCTCCCCACTTGGGGTGCCTACTATCAGGAAGACAAATCTGAACTATAATAAAGAGAGTGAAATGCATAATTTAATACGTGACTTCAGTTGTATGGTCAAGGTTAAAGAGGCTGGAGAAATTGCAAGAAAAGCTGCAGGGGGATCTGTGTGGGTGGGTGGCATAGTGCACACTCCAAGTTGGGAGAAAAGGCTCAGCCAGAGCAATCACACGAGAAGGTCTAGGCATGCTTGAGTCTCAGCGAAGGACTGACTTGTCTGAAGTAGAGTGTTCAAATTAAGTGCTTGGGAATCAGATTGAAAAGGCAGGTTGTGTAGGTCTTTATAACAGCAGAAGAGTGAGGGTGTTATTGGATGAGTCATGGGACACTCTGACTTTCCTTTTTGCTAATAAAGGTTTTAGAGAGAGAGAGAGAAAAAAAGCCCTTCTCAGCTCCTCTTTTTCTCCTTCTGTTCTGTGAGAAGGATTTCCAGAGTAGAAAGGACGGAGTGAGTACCCAAGAGAGGCTCCTAAAGGCAGTCTATTCCAAAAGAGGCTTTAGCTGCTCTGAGTAACTCCATCTCATGGTCTGACCCAATAACAGCCCAGAATAGTGTGAGGACTTGCAGCTCAGGCTATAGGACAACTGGTGGTGGCTGTGAAAATCCCATAGATCAGGGGTCCCCAACCTCTGGGCCATGGAAAAGTACTAGTCCGGGCCTGTTAGGAACCAGGCTGCACAGCAGGAGGTGGGCTTGAATGTAATGCTCTTGAATCATCCCAAAACCATACCCCCACCCCGGTCCATGGCAAAATTGTCTTCCACAAAACAAGTCCCTGGTGCCAAAAAGGTGGGGGGGACTGCTGCTGTAGAGTAGGAAGAAGACACACAGGGCAGCTTAGAGATAGGCAAACATGGCTCCAGTTTTACAAATGGGAAGAGATGAATTCCATAAATGATAGATCAACAAGCGTAATACCAATTGAGGGCAAGAGTCTAGGACAAATGATTAAAAGGATGGTTGGTGAGCCCTTACAAAGGGAAGGAAAGATTGCTCAGCCCCTCCAAGGACTACAACTATTTTCAATTCCATGGGCTCAGGAAAAACAAATCAGCACCCACTCAGCTCATTGCCTTTGAAGGGTGATTGGATGGGTAGATGAGAAGGATGCTACACCTACAGTGTATCCAGAGTTCAGCAAAGCCTTCTCTCATGATACCCTTGGGACAATATGTAGAAATGCAGGGTGGATAAATATAAATGTGGGCAGATTCTTAGCCAATTGAATGACTTACACACAAAAGGGTTCTGTTTTAATGCCACTAGATCAAATTTGAAAATTACACATAGCTGGGAGAGAAAGCCAAAGTGACAGAATCAGAATTTATAGACATGTCAAGAGGCTGCTATGATGGATTCACTATAGCAAAATGAAAGTTAACAGGGACATAACCTTTCTATAGTACATTTTTCTGCTTTTATATCCAGGGTCCTAGGCAACCAGTAAAAGGTTTAGGGCTAAGACAAAGAGAGATGTCCCACACAGAGAACTTAGGAGCTGGAGCCTGGAGGAAGACCCTTAAAACAGATATGAATAGGGAGGCTTCCCTCAGGGACCCCCAGAAACACCTGGGAAGGGCAGCCAGGCACAGACTGCAGTGCCAGTGGATCAACTAGGAGAAGAGCTCAACAACTGCAGTGCAATTATTACTGGAAGGTGGAGAATCCCAGGACATGTGGGTTACTATGAACTCACCAGAACTGACTATCGATTCTGTATCCAGAACTAGAAAGACAATAGTGAACAAGATGGCCATGGCCTTGAACTTCAGACATGACAAATATTCAACAAATATGTACAAATATGAGTTGGTTCCAATAAAAATTCCATTAGTGAAAAAAAGAAAGTTAACAGGGACAAATATAAAGTCACTTATTTGAACTCCACAATGTAAAAACATGAATGTAGGATGTGAGAGCAATGGCTTAGAGGGTTTTAGAGTAAGTGAAAGCTCATCATGATCCATGAGTCAAAAGCATGGTTTGGTTCCTATGGAAAGTCTTGTGACCTTGGGCTGTGTTAATAAGAGGGTAATGTCCAGAATAAAGCAGGTGATCATCTTGTGCTACTCTGCACGGACCAGGCCACACCTGAGGCCCTCTATTCAGTTGAGGGCATCACACTTCAAAGGAGATGTCAACAAAAGTATGTCCAGAGGAAGAGTGGTGAGAATAGTGAAGGGACTGGCAAATCCCAGGAGGAGTTTGTCCACTGTTAGCAATTCATTACTGGGTTTGTGAGGAAAAGGAAGCTATAGATATATTCTGTATAGATGCCTAAGAGCTCCAAGATCTCATGAGTGAAAGTTGTAGGAAAGCAGATTTTAGTTTGGTGTAAGGAAGATGCATTTTTTCTTTCTTTTTGATAATGAAAAATGATAATAAAGGTTTCAGTTCATGATTCCAGCCTCTTGAAGTCCTTTTAAAATTTATTAACCTGAACAACAATGGACAGATCTTTTTTATTTTCCTCTTCACTTTTCTCATTTATTTTTTTAAAATTGAACTTGTCAGGGTGACATTGGTTAATAAAACCATGCAAGTCTTAATAAA